GGCGAAAACGTTCTTCGGCATACCATGCTGCTTCTTCCAGTCGACAGCCGATTCCTTGATCTCGTCCTTGTTCCGATCATACTCGAACATTATGCTGCTCTCCTTGGTCACCGGGAAGTAGTGCTTCTTATATATATCATCCACCACTTCTCTCAGTATCTTCGCACGTATCAATGATCGTTGGACTTGATAGGCTGATAATTCACGATGATCACTGCTTTTGAACTTCTTCTCGTCGACGTACACGTACTGATAAGGCTCATTCTCATTGTCCTCATAACCGTACCATTCCCCTTTTCGTTCCCATTGCCTTCTCTCGTCTTCGAGGTAGGTGATCTCCCCATTCTCGTCGACGTCGAGCACTTCCTTGAACCACACCATTTTCTCGGGGATCTCGGACTCGCCAGACCATCTCGATGATTCGCTCATCGCGTCGTCATCGTGCTCGTGGTAGACAGTCTCGGCTTCGTCCGGTTCGACCTGATCAACGTCCTTCTTGAAGCTTACCTTCCCTGCAGGAGCCGATTGCTTCAGGACTATCGCGGGCATTGCGATGGCCCTCCTCGCAATGGCAGGCGCTGCGGCTTTGGCGGCAGCCTTCGACTTGGCTTGCGCCTTGTCATTTGACGTTGCTGGAGCTGAATTGTTCTTGATGAGCTCATGCCTATACTTGCAAGCGCTTCCCTTATCGCACTTCCCCTTCTGAAACGCGAAGCATGCTCCATCATCTCTCTTTGGTGACGATGATCTGGACTTGGATTTGCCCTTTCCTTTCCCCTTGGACATACTCTCCAACTTGTGCTCCGTCTTCTTGCTGTGGGAAAAAGTGCATTCATTCCCTTTCACGCACCCCTTCGCCGATTTGAAGTGGTACCAGCAGGGGTTATCCTTGCTTCCGCCCGGACTCTTGCCTCTGTCGCTGGCACCGTCGGACTTGCCGTTCTTGCCAGCGTGGCCCTTTGCCTTGGCTTTTGGGAGCACAGGAGCGGCATCAGGTCCACCGGGTTTCCCCTTTCTGCCCTTGCCACCCTGGTTCTCCTGTTTGCCAGTTGCTGGAGCCGCATCCTTCCCGCCTGACTTCATCATCGACTTGACCGATTTCTCCTTCATGTCGAGCATCAGGTCTTCCCGATCTGCCTTGATCTGATAGTCGATCAACGCCAATAAGAATTCATACGTCTTCTGAGGATGCTTGTCCGGTAGTCTATGGTAGGCATTGAGGCCGAACTCCATCTTCTTGCTCCCTTTGATCTTCCTGTAAAGGATGTCTCTGAGAGCCAGCTTACTGGGTCTGTCCTCGCTCCTCATCTTCAGCAGCAAATCATACCATTTGTTCCTGAACATGACCAAGTTCTTGTCGCCAGGAAAGTCAAGGTTGAATAAATGCTCGATGTGGTAGACAAGATCCGTTCTATCGGAAGTTCTGAATGATTGCATAACTAATGCCACCAACTCTCGTCCCTTCACGATCACCCCTTGTTGATGTCGTAGTTCAGAGTGTCGTGTAGCATCGAGGTATACGTCCTTGGCTTCGTCAGGTGCTTGTTTCAGCATGTTCTGCATGCCCATGGCCATCTTAATATCTATCGTAGCAAATCTGTCGCCACCTGAATCGCTAAGCAAATCCAGGTCTGGGTTCAACCCAAGAGCCTGCTCCAGCCATTTCGTCCATGCGTCGGTATCTGGATCTGCACATGCGCTCAGAACATTCATCAGCAGTTGCATCTTCCAGGTGTCAAGTTGATGGATCTTTGGCCAGGCCGGAATAGATACTCTCTCGGCCTCTTTCCTCGAGATTCTCGGTCGATCATTCTTGATCTCTCGGTTATCTCTCGATCTCCTTCGTCTCCTCCGTGTCCGATCGTCTTCTTCCTCTTCTTCTTCCTCGTCTTCCTCATCTCCTTCGTCGTCGTCATCCTCATCCTCATCATCGGGTGGATCATCCGGAGGTCCTCCTCCGCCACCAGCGAGGCTCAACTGACGTCGACCCGCTCCCTGCCCATTCCCATTGGGCGGGAATCCACCGTAATCCAATGGGGGCGTAGTACCGTTGTTTCCCCCCCCATCACCACCACCAGTCGTAGTAGTGGATTGTGGGACATGCCCAACAACCCCTTGCATCTGGGATAGGTGTACATCGATCATTGGATCACCGAAAGACGGAAAGAGGATCGAACCTGGCATCAGCGACGAATTAGGGATTTGATTTGAAGACGATGACGGGACTGACCCAGCCACCTTCTTGTCTATCCTATTTGAATTAGCCTGGGTTCCTCCCTCAGCGCGTTTCACTACTGCTCGTTCACGATGTCCATCTTTGCTGCTGGAGGCTTCCTGTGTCTCCAGCTTCTTGTGTGCACGTAGTTCCTCGTTGTCAGCATCGAGTTGGCGTACAAAACTCTCTTCTTGCTTGAGCGTCGCCTCTCTTTCTTTCAGTTGTCTCTGAAGCTCATGCATCTCCTCGAGGTACTCATCGTACATTCCCTTAGCTGTCAATCTCCAGTACTCAGCCTCCTTCGACTTCTCGTCCATCGTGCACCGTTCCTCTTGTTTCTCTTCTTTGACCTGGGCTAACTCCAAGATCGCATCCTGACGATGACCACCTTCGACAGCAATCATCTGGTCCTTCATCGACACGTCGGACTCATACTGTTTGACGATCTCTTCTTTTTCGCGAAGCAAGCAATCTGCTCTCTTCGATTCCTGTTCCGCAAATACTGTAACGTCATTCAGCCTCGCCATCAGCTGTTCCCTGGAGTCCTCCAAAGAGTACGTCTCGGGGCGCTTGACGAGTGCATGCTCCAACTGTGATTTCAGACTTTGGACCATCTCCTCCTCGTTGAACTTCTCGATAGATGTAGAAGATTCTATGCCTCTGATCTGTTGCTGATAAGCTGATATCTGTTGTGAAGCCTCACGGTGTATCTGATTTGCACGTATAGCTGATTCCTGCGCGGCCGACTTCTCGCTTGCCATGTAGGATTTCATCAATGCAATCTCCCGCTTCTGCTCCATGATAGTTCCTTCAGCTTGCCTCATCTGTTGCATTATAATATTCGACTCCATGTCTTTCTTCTCCCCGTACTGAAATGCGTTCATTTCCACCTTGCGCATCTGTTGGGCTTCTTCCTCAAACTTGCGCCATGCCTCAGCCATGTGGTGTTGGTGGTGACTCACTAGATGTCCCGACTGCTTGCTGGCAATCTCGCATCGTCTTTCCAGCTCCTGGATCCGGATGGTGCTTCCATAGTCTTCTTGGTTAAGATTCGCCATTGCTGCCGACATTTCATCAAGTGTCTTCTGATATTCCCCGATCTCCACCTCCATCTTATTCTTCTCTTTGATCACGGCGCGAAAATCTGCACTGGTGGGTGATTTTGACCTCCCACCCTTCGATGTCGATCTCACGCCCTTCTGCGACGTCCGTGGTGTCGCAGGCGAAGATGATGATCTTCTCGGTGGGGATTCTCTTTTCTTCGACTCCTGATGAACATCGATCTGCTTCCATGATCTTGTGGGAGTAGATATGTCGCTGAATAGCGCGGAACCTCCGCTCCCAGGTTCATCCTGTGAATCTGCAACCATATCCATCACCGCAGGAAGAGCCATCAATCCATTGGATCCCTCTGAGCTGCTGTTCCCAAAAGTTGCAGTACTTGGGCTCGCCGAAGACGCCATTGTACTGTGTAGGTTATCGTTCCTTTATTGTCCCTGTACCCGCAATAAACCAGCTGTCTCCCAGTCCAGTGTAGAGCTTGTAGTTACGGCTGATAACCTGTCAAGAGACGGCAAGGTGACGTCCCGTGGGACGCTATGCACCGAACCCTCAAGCTGTAATACCAACCACGTAGAAAGGTGTATACGGACGATGCCGTTATAGCCGAACCCGTGTAAACGTTGTAAGGGAGAAGGAATGATAGTTACAACAGTGGTCCTGACAAATGCAGCGCAAGCAGTTGTTTTCGCTCTTAATGCCGATCACGTAGGTATGCAGTCACACATCAGATCTTGAACCTCAATTGTGTCTTGAGCCAAAATGGCGATCAATGGAACTTGGGAAGCAACACCAACAAGGACCTCAGAACAGTTACCCAATTTCGGCACGGGGCCTGGAGGGTTTTAACAGTGGTAGTGTATGTGTGTTGTGTGTAAGTTTGTGTTATGCGTGTTTTGTGTGTATATGTTGCTCTCGCTTTGCCTTTGTTTTGTGCGTGTGTTTGCTTGCTTGCGCTTGCTTATCTTTGCGCGCAGAAGGTCCAAAACCAGGGCCGTTGCTCCCTTGCCAGCATCTCGCTGGAGGTTGTTCTGGGCTTTGTCTGCAACACGCCTCTCGGACAAAACTCTGCAAGCCGATTCAGACCTACGCAGGTCTTGCTCGATCGATGAGAACGATGGGCGACGGGATCATATGTGTGTGTATATGCATATGCATAAGCACACGTTCCACACTCTACCCCCTCCCTTGCTACCACCCATCATCATGGTACCCCGAGCGGTTGTGGGTGGTCTGGCTGCGGATTGGCTTACGGTTGCCTGAACTGCCCGAACTTGCTCTCAAATTCCTTTGGTCGCAACCAGGCGCCCTTCGCAAGAAACGTTACCTTTTGGGAACGGTGGTGCAATACGGCTGCCGACATGGGAAAGTGCAAGTGACTGGGCGTTTACGCGCCAGCGAAAAGGCGCAGGACTCACTTCCACGGCGCTTTGGTCAGCAGCGCCCAAAGAATAAGAATGTCTTTGCCAGAATCGCCAACTTCCTAGTAGCTCTTGGGGCACGCTCCACACCCGTCCAACTCTTGCGAACCACCTCGCAACACTCATGTTGGTCTCCTAAACCTGGCCCTCTGAGCAACCTAGGCTCGGCAGAAATGCGCTGCGAAAGGCGTGAGAATGAACACTTACAGACAGGTCCTTAGGAATTGCCTTTGTCTTCAAGGGTTTTGCCTGACTCAAACCAGTATACGTTGGATTGGTAGCACATGTCTTTCCGGGCAAGACACTTGGCTCTGTCAATCTTACCATTGTTGTTCCGGGGAAGCTTCTCCAAGCGCACGATGATCTGTGGCCTGAAGCCAAGAAACACATGGAGTGTCTTGGGAACGCATTTGAGGAGCAGTGGGTAGAAACAAATGGGGTAAACTCAGCACAAACTGTGGGTGAACTGACATGGTGCCATCTGAGCTGTCATGTTGCAATGGCACAACGTTCAAGTCACTGTGTTTGTAAAGATTTCTATACATGGTCAGGGATTCGCAAGTCTGCCCCGCTCCCCGCCCCATAGTTGTCGCGCGTGGTCCGCTCTACCTGTCACAATAGGAACGAACGAGTCCCATATCTGAGAAAACATGCAATCAGCCGTTGCGCGCTGGGTTGCGCCGTGAGTTGCGCAAAGCGGCCTTGAGCCAAACGGTTACATCTTTACATGTTTGCTCGAAGGTCAACTCTAGCCAAGTGTTTGGCCAGCCCCTAATGCCATAGCACGCCTTTGAGCCCTGACTGTGTCAAAGGTCTCCCAAACTGCTTCTCCTTTGCTCACACATGCCACTTTGCGAGTTGGAAAATCCAGCGGTTGAGGTCGCAACGCGTTGGGCAGAAGCCGCTTCTCCACGTCGTCGTGGCACGCGGAGCCAGCATGTGAGCTTTTGCAGCCTTACTTTTGGACTGGCGCTGGGGCTGGGGTCGTCGCAGACTGCAGCCCGTGCGGCAGTTGAAACAAGTGCCCTTGCCCGACCTCTGCGCGCCGGTTTTGCCGAACTTTTCCTTCCAAGGCCAACCTCAAAGCTTTGAGCCCTTGGCGGGCTCTACCAGGAACCTGAGTAGAGGCGTGTAGATTTACAACGAAAGTGCTCCATTGCTCTGTGACTCTATGGCCAAGCTACTAGAGAACCCAGCAAAGGCCCGCCGTATGTGACCCCGAAAGGGAAAACATCAACTCTTGGCGCTGAGATGAAGCAAGCGCGCTGGCAGCTGAATGGAAATTGCTTCCTTTACTGCGTCTTGCTGTCATGAAGAGGGCTATCAGAGGATGCTCTTTGAGCTCTTCGAACAAGTGAGCCCTAAGCGAACCTTCGCTCGGGCGCTCGTCCTTCTCCAGCAAATTGAACACGAAGGCATACTTAGGCCGAAAGTTCTCCAACGATTTCACAATGGCGCTGAGTCAAACAAGTGCCTCTGCTTCGATCGAGTTTGTACTTTGCAAGAACATGCCACAAGAGTACCCGACCTCTTGGCTGGCGACCCTTTTTCTAGGCTTTCTCCTGCGAGGATTGGAAATCCATGGAAAAGCGAGTTCCTTTCGCCTGTTCCAACAACCGATGACCCCGAATTCGATCCAACAAAGGAGTTGCCAGCATCCTTCAGTTTTGACGCATCGTCATCACGGTGGCACCTATCGCTCCATTTGAACACGGGTGCTTCATTGCTTTTTGCCAATTTCGTGATGTTGCTACACACCTGATTCCTAAACCCTTGATTCGGAAGCATTTTTGGGAAGCGCAGGAATCTAGGAATCTTGAAAGTTTCATAAGCCTTGACTCGCACCAGCTTTTTCTCTTCGCGGCGAAAAAATAAACTGAACCACTTGCAGAGTCACTAAACGAATCTTTGCTACTCCCTCAACCGCCACCACCTCCCCGCCTGAGCTTTTTGGAAGCAGAATCTGAGGACGGATGCGCATCAGACTCTGAATCACCTTCATTGTTTGCGTGGATTATTTCAAGACGATTGATCGCTCGCCTGACAGGGTCGGTCTAGCCACCAACTTGAGGGCCGTTCAAGATCTGAAGCGTCAGTAGCCAGGATGCGCGGCGTAACAGAGATAATTCTGTTCATCTAAGAGCCGCGCGCTCGATGACGTGAAAACCCGATCAGATGAAGCTCCTCCTGGAACGCCCAACGAGCTCCCGCGACTGGCTGCGCTGGCTACTCGCCTCGTGAGAGGGTAGCTCTGGTGGTCGGGGTCGGAGGGCCCTGTCAGCTGCGGTTCGCGATTCTTCAGTGACAATTGGCACCGAATAAAACACAAGCCCACCGCCATGTTTAAGTGTCGTACCCGGTCATGTAATTTTCTTTACGGTTCGGACCCCGCCCGTCTGCTCTCAAGACTTGCGTCAAGATGTTCGCCTTCTCGCTTGCGCCCCTTCTCCCAGATCTTTGCCAAGCACAAGCGCCGGTGGTCTGTCTGCGTGAGCTGAGTCTCGTGCACGCAGATGGTTGCCAGCGAGTGTTCAAGTTGATCAGCTCCCAGAAACGAGTCAGCTAGCCCAAATTCCCCTGCCAAATAAAGCCTGCTTGAACGGTGGCAGGTTTGTCTGCTTGCTGTAATTCACACACTGCCTCTTGCCAAAATCCCTGCTCCAGCTGCCTCCAGCAGGCCGGAAAGGCCCAGGGCGAGGAAGCGTCAGACGATCAAATTCATACAGAGCAATCAACCCCCCTCTAGAAACCGCATAAACCCGTCAAGAAGCCGATCAAATCACCCCTTGACTCCGGCCAACTCCTCATCCCCAACTCTGGCCAAATCCGTCTAGAAACCGCTCAAAAGCCCGGTCAAATCATGTAGAAACCAGCCAAACTCCTTTTAAAACCGGTCAAATTCCCTCCAGAAACAAATCCAAAAAAACACGTAGAAACTGATCAAACTCCTCTGGAGACCTGGCCCAAGCTCACTGCCATTCTGGAAACGTGCGCCCTCTACCTTAGAAGCCAGCCCACGCAAACAAGGTCAAAATAAAGCACGGTGTATACCTCAAAGCCAGCCGAACGCGGACTGGCCGAGGCGGGCAACGCGAAGCGTTTACAATTACTTATAACTTGGAACTAACTAAGTAAATTTTAAGTTCTTGGGATGAGCTTTCTTAAATTAACTAGAAGTGTCAGAACTAAAGCATAAGTGCCATGCGTCACTTACAACTTAGGGTCCCCGCATTGAACCACACGCCGCAAGCTTGCGGGCAAGAAGCCGCAAAGTCAACTGAAGGGAAATGTGTTGGGCGGCGGCGATCGGACTTTGAGCGTTTGGGTTGGCTTGTAGTTGTTTTTTGCGAGTGACCTTGAAGGAACTTCACACATACACACATATATATATATATACATACAGATTCAGCCAAAAAAACCAAAGCCTGCTACGCAAGAACAAAAGCATTCTCCCTGCTGGCTGTGTAACTGCGACGGAGCTGCAATTTCGGGATTCTAATTCATAGATGGACGCGTGAGTGTTGCAACTGCGAAGTGCTATATCGGATTGCTGATTCTTCTGTGGAGCCATGAATGTTGCAGTTCTGAAATGCGATTTCATATTTGAGCCACTCGGTCTTGAATTTCAAGTTGTAATTTTTGTTCATTTGGTTACTTGGCCATGTCCAAGGGGTGTCTGCCATCGGTCTTAACGCTGCTGCGGCGCACCTTGTAGGCCCTGACTGTGCTTCACGTTCAGGAGGGTGCAAGCATAAAACCTTGTGACTCTGTCTGCCTTACTCTGAAGAGCGCGCGCTGACTTCCTTTTTCTCTAACAATGATTGCAAGGAGATCAAGTGCCTTGCGCAACCAGAACAGCGCATCCCGGTTTCGGGTTGGTTTAGGGCAAGGTTGGTTTAGGTGTGTTTAGTCTAGGGTTGGCTTGGGGGTTGGTTTAGGGCTGGTTTGCAGGAGCAGGGAAGGTTTGGGAGCCCATTCATCCAGGGCGCTGCATGTAGGGTGGCAAGGACTTCTGGCAGGAAGCTCGCACCGCAGCTTCGGGGACCTCTTGATCTGCACCTTCGCCGAGACGCGAGGGAAGGCCATGCCTCCTGGATACCTTCAGGCCCCCCTGCAGAAACGAAAAAGATGGCCGGACAAAAACGAAGAACAAGGCGGCGGTGGCCGCCGAACCGTTCACGGCGCGTTTCTACGCTTGGACTTTTCAGCGCAGATGCGCGCGGTGAGCATTTGTTGCTTCATCTGCGCGATCAACCCCCATGTCAGCGTCATCTTCTTGGGCCCTTTCTGCCACGATCGTCGTCAAAAGCGTTGCGCTCAACTTTGCCCGTAGTAGATGCCCGACTCCAAGCAACGGTTAAGCTCAAGAGCCTGGTCGGGCCCAGACCATTGGGCGCGCCCAGTCTTCCAGTTCGGCCCGCGCGCAGATGGAGCATTGCAGTTCCACAATTGAAGCCCTCATGTTACTATTGGTGTTCCGGGATACTGGATGGACCTAAACTTGCAAAACTAATCCCTTGAGGGTTGTTTGTGTCTTCCATTCTTTGCAACATTGTCGACAATGGTGAAGGTTGGCTTCGAACAGGAACTTCACCCAAGATAAATTGACAAGAAGGCGACGCGCCAAGTCTTGATCGGAGAAACAGACCTCCCTGCCTGGCTCGTAGTAGGACACGAGCCCGGAGGTCCCGTTGCCGCTCTTTCGCAGCACGCAAACCGCCGCCCGCGCCCCGGCAGAGCGGCAGGCAGCCTGGTCTCAAGATGGCTCCACAGACTGCCCGCCGATGATGAAAAGCCCCATGGAGAAAGAGAGTGTTCCACATAGTGAGCTATCTGCGGAATGATTTGGTTTCGAGACGCAGGAGCCGGATGCTGCCCAAAGCTTTGCGGCGTGAGCCGTAGACTCCTTTTATTGAAACGACCGCATTGCCAGCTTGCTTGTAGAACTTTGAAAATTTGTACACAGTCGAGAAGTGTACATATGTGGACGCGTTGGGCCGAAGTTGGCCTGTGAGAGTTTCATTTTGTGGGCGCGGTGCCTAATTTCGCGCCCCGCCGACCCCCTGCCAGAGTTGCGCGGGAAGGCATCGACCACAACCCAACCACCCGCCAGAGAAGAGCCCTCTTGCCGGGCATTCTCACGAGCGTTAAAAATCCTCTTTGCGCAAAAGGCCTTGTGCAAGTTTGCTCGCTGCAGATGGCGCTGCGCAAGTGGCTCTGCGCAAATGGCTCTGGGCAAGTTGCTCTGCGCAAGTTGGTTCGTGCAAGTGGCTCTGCGCAAGTTTCTCAGTCAGAAATCGCCCAA